AGATGCCACAACCACATACAATGCACCTGGTTGCGAGATTTGTCGGGCATCAATATTCCTCCAATTATTCGTAGAATATATGCCCGAGCACATGCCTTTGCTTGATCCTCTGAAGCATTTTCATTTAAAACCTCAAAATTAGCTTTCAACCAAGATAAAGCTATTCTACCTCCATTAAACTCTGGCGGAGCAGCTCCAAGATAATCAATGCACATTGATTGCCAATCACCATCCGCCGTACCACACATCATATTTCCGTCGACGGGAAGCCCCAGATGCATAGAGACATCCTCCAATGTAATTGTCGCCTCTCCACATGGAAGGTGAAAAGTGTGTGTCTCGGGCCTCCACCTCTCAATCAGTGCAGAAATTAGGACAGGTTCGAGTTTGCAACCGCCTATAATTGTTGCAATATACCCGAACCCGGCAGAAGCCAAATATGGCAAAATACGTTCCGGTGTCGGTATACGTGGATTTTTAATAAAAGTCTCTAAAATACGATCAACATCCTAAATAATATACATTATAAAAAATAAAAAATAATATAAATTCATAATAACTTTAAAATAAAAATAAATTTAAATATTAACATTAATTATAAAAAATATTACCATATCACTAAAATGTCTGGAGATATGATCAATATCCAATCGCAACAGCATTTCGTTTTCCATTATAACTGTAGACAAAACAATATAATTAGCAAAAAAAATTAATAATTCTAAATAAATAATAATTATATAAATATTATTTTAATAAAAAATAATATTTACATAAATATATTAATATAAAAAATAATAACTATTTAAAAAAATACTAACATAAAAATAAATTTCTTACCACTAATAACAAATTTAAAACTCAAATAGTTGGAGAATTTGAGTTATATAAGAGAGGAGAATATGATTTTGGTGTGAAGAATGAGGGAGGGTTGAGGGGGTTTATATAGGGGAGGATGAGGGGTAGTTAGGAAAAACGGATGGGGGCATTTATGACATTTAATGGAAGGCGTGTCCCCGGGGATGCGTCTTCCACACGTGTCTGCTGATATGGCAAAGGCGCGTCCCCGGGGATGCGCCTTCCACACGTGGCATCCAACTCAGCGAAAACACGGGTAAAGCGCGTCCCCGGGGACGCGCCTTTGCCAACTCAGCATAAAGGGTGCTACTTCTGGAAATATTGGTCAAACGGTGTCAGAAAGGGAAAATTAAAAAAAAACGGTGTCAGTTATGTAATTTAGCCCTGTGTGACCCCGTGCATCAACCTGACCTGGACAACAGGGTTCGTGTGTTTTTGATTTAAAATGGGTAAATTCCCATTTTGGTCCCTCATGGTTTTAAATACTTCAGTTTACCCCTGAATTCTCACTTATTCTTCGATTTAATTTGAAACTGGCCCTCAAATTTAGCTTTTATTTCAATTTCGTCCTTTTTAATGTATATATATTTTTTGTTTCATTTATTATTTTTATTATTTTCTTTAATTGTTTTGGGTTATTATTATTATTATTATTTATTTATTTATTCCTTACTATATTTTTCCTAATATTTTATTTTATATATATACTTTTATTATTTATTTTATTTATTTATTATTATTATTATTATTTTCTCTAATATTTTGTTTATATGTTGTTATATATATTACTTTTTTCATTTATTTTATTTTTATTTCTTTATTTATTTCTTTATTTATCTTTTTATTTTTTATTTATTCTTTATCTTTATTTTATTTTATTTATGTATATTTTCTTTATATATTTTTATTTCTTTCATTTCATCTATCTTTATTTTAATTATGCTATTTACTTTTCATCTTTGTTGTATCTTTTTTGTTATTTATTTCAACTATTTTTTCTTATTTATTTTATTTTCTTTATTTTTATTTATTTTCATTATCTTTTTTGTTATTTATTTCAACTATTTTTTTCTTATTTATTTTATTTTCTTTATTTTTATTTATTTTCATTATCTTTTTTCTCTAACACTTTTCTTGACCTCTTAAGGGTATACTTTTAAATCCGTCAGAGGTGAGTAATTCGGATCGTTATTTTACCTTTTACTTTAACTTTCAATTTTCTTAATTAAAGATAACTGGAAATTACGTAGTACCGAAAGAACAGTTCAAGGGTGCTAACCCTTCCTTGACTGTAATCGACTCCCGAATCCGACACATCTTTGGTAAGACGCAGATCAGGTAAGAAATAAGGTATCCGATCAACCCATTTGTTTTAAAATAAATGATCGATGGCGACTTTAATATATTTTCATTCAAGTCAAAGCACAATTTCGAGCCCAACCGAAAGACGGACACGACAAGTACACTACCAGAAGCTGAGCAAAGATCACATGTTATTGCGGTGGCCATTGCCACCACGGCTGCTGCTCAGGAAGCCGTGGAAGTTGCTCGGCTCACAAGGCCACATATGTTATTCAGGGAACAGTTTGCCACCATTGTTATACAGACAGTTTTAGGAGGATATCTGGTAAATTAAAGGGTAAAGTACATAAACAGTTACCGGGCTATTGCGTGATGTTTTGTTTAGTCTTCGACTATCAAAAAATTATAAAATGATCATCCAACCATATTTATACGTTCTAAACTTATTATTTTATGTTAAAAAATGACAATTGTCTAAGACAAATGTTAACATAATGATTGTAATATGATAATATATGATCATAAAACCATTTGAATTGTATTTTTATGGCTCGAGTCTTCATTTTTATTATGTAAACTTGTTGATTGACTCGATGATATAATATAAATAGCTCTATAATCAAATTTTATCATATATTAGTCACAATCGTCAATTCTTTAACAGAAATAAAGGGTTTCAAACATAAAAATAATTTTTAATAATTGAGAGACTCGATAAAATAATTTCATATAGTAAGTAATTATTTATGCCCTTTACCCTAAAATAAAATGATAATGAGATTGTGTTGTTGCGTAATTTAGATTGAATATTTGGACTAAGAAAAATGGTAGTGATTTTGAAGGCAAGGAGAGCTCTTGGAGCACTCAAGGGGGTGGTGAAGCTGCAAGCATTAGTGAGAGGCCACAATGTTTGAAAGCGAGCAGAAGTTACTCTCCGATATATGGAGGCCATGCTTCGAGTGCAAGCTCAGGTTCGTGATCGACGTAAGAGGCCGATTTGTGCACATGAAAGAAGCACAAACTCCATTTGCAGTGATCACAGCTCATGGAGGTCGAATCTTGAAGAGATCAACAATGGAGATGATTGGGTCCATTGGGACGAACACCACAAAACTCTGAAGGAGATTCAAGCCATTTTGCAGAAAACTAAGCTAGCTACCACCAATACCATGAAGCCTGAAAAGGCTCTTCTTCCTCAAGCCTTCCCTCACCAGATTGATATCTCTTTCCGAACTTAAATTACGGATGCAGTTTAACGTAATTGTAACTTAATTTGACCTAAAAATTATATACCTTTCATCTTATCTGATCTAAATAGTATATATATCTTCTACTCGAATCCAATATGACTTGAAAAATATATACCTCCATTCGACCTGACTTGAAGAGCATATTTCCTCTACTCAAACATGATTCAACTCGAATTTTCAAAGTAAAAAATCCAATTCGATACGATATAAAATAAAGATCTAATTAAAAAAATAATAAATAGATAGAGTATTTTAGTAATTATTCATAAATTTATATGAAAACATTATACTATTATCTCAAGCCGGATCAAAGGTTTTTTCGACCTAAATGTATACTCGACCAAATCTCACCCTTATATAAAACTTGACTTAAATTCGAAATATTTTTAGAGAAAAAATTAATTTTATCAAGTCAAGTCAGATAATGCGTTGATTTCAAATTAAATTAACACCTCTAATGATGAATATTATTATGATCATAGTATAGTAGGTATCACTATTCTAAACAACACCTTTTATCATTGTGTAATGACCGTTATTTCTGCATCAAACTGCTATTTACCCAACTGGGCACATGAGGTGTTCTTCGTTAAATTTAAGAAATTAAGTGATGTTATTTGTTTGATGAACTAGATTTGGAGAACTGAAAGAGACAGTGCCGAAGAGCTTGATCGGTGGACAAGAAGGAAGCAACGGGAGAGTAGAGGCAGGATGTCATCCGATCACATCGACCCCATAAAAATTGTTGAAATCGACACGTCTAGGCCATACTCGCTCAACACCACTGGCTCAATCCCACCGTCTTCCGCAAAGGCCAAGTTCCTCCAAATTTACTCGGCAGCTAGCCCTCGACGCGTCAAAGAAGAGAAGCTCCGCCGCTTAGCCGCTAATAGAATGAGTACCAACGCTGGTGCAATTTCTAACTACATGGTGGCCACGGCATCGACTATGTCTCAGTTTCGGTCACAAATTGCACCATAATAATAAAGGATTAAAGATGGAGTTTACGAATATAACTGGGGAAGTTCAACTTCAAGCTATTAGAGCAGTCATGGAGGCCATAATAATAAACACAGCATGTCTTCTTGTTATGCACATTATGGAGCCTTCATTTTCAGTTCAAGATAACAACTTTGGTCCAACCAACCCCCGATCGTGGTCCAAATGACATTTCGAAACTTTTTTTCAAAAACATTAATTAGTATTCTTTTAATTGAAACAGAACAAAACTAGGATTAAGTGTAGGCCGTGATAATATTAAAGCAGAATCACATATGATACTAAAGCAGGCAGCGTTTAATGACACTGACGCGGTTTCAGGCCAATTTCTTCCAAAACTAGCTGCTCTCTCTTTATCTGTATTATTTGCATATGTAGAATAGATTTGGATGACCACATGGTATCATCAATATCATGCCATCTGCTCACTCATATTTTTCCTTCATTATCACCGCCTGTAATTTTCCTGCTACAGTAGTTGGCGGTTTGATCGATCGATTGGGTCCGAAAGGCACACCAAGCTGTGTCACCATTGCCTTTAGTTGCTTACAATTCTTAAAAACCGGCGCAGGGATAGTAGGATATATAAATGGGAAATAAAATGAGCAGGTTCAGTATAACAAAATGCAGTGTTTTTCTTAACAGACATGGCGCAAATCAATTTAAATAGTTTCCTCTTATCCAATCCCACATTTTTCTCGGATGCAAAAGATTTTGCTGATCACCAATACCAAAAACATACATTCAACTACATATCATGTCCCAATATGCTTGCAGTATCCCACAACATGGCATTGCAAATCGGTAATCCTGCCAGAACAAAACGAAATCTGTAAATCTTCAAGTCACTTCGGCTAAATGATTATTACAAAAACAACGAAACTCTTCGAATAATGCTACAAGGACATGACTATTTTTCAATTTATCATGGTTCTGCCTTGAATATTTCACAAACCAATACTAATGTAGACCTGCTTTGTGCAAAATCACATATTGTTCATATTTCAGACCACCCCATACACCTCAGACAAACAATCAATCCCAGAAAGCTGAAACATAAAATTTAATGCTATGGTGCACAATAACAGTTTCTTCATTACGTTAGATGCTTCAAATTTAGCTTGTTGCAATCGATAATTACTGGTTAAAGGGCTGTCCTAGAACAGAAACTGCATATATGATGCAACAATCAAATAATAATTAAATTGAGGTAATGGACTCACTATCTTCAAGAAGACAATGCTGCCCCAGTTGCCCTGTAACAAGACAATTAAGCTTAATAAGTAGAGGCATAAAAACATACAATTTTAAATGATCATCAGACTCAGCTGTCTGCATGTTTTTACGCCACATACCTGCCCCGCTGTTTTCCGGAAAAATTAGAATTAGACCTTTCAAGACCTGAGGCCTTGCTTTCAACATTACTCGCACTCGATCTCTCAAAATTTGCCCCATTAGGTTTGCTCAATATTTTTACATCTGAAAGATTTCCAGCCACACCAAAAGAGATGCCATTTGGATGTTGATTCTTCATCTCTAATAGCTGTGAATGATCATCAGCTGCATTTTTGGAGATGACTGCATACCCCTTGAAAGAAGCATTCTCATTCTTGGCATGGTTGGAATCAGCAGCAGCTGATGGAAGACCCTTCTTTAGTCGATTAGGCTGTGCCATTGGAGTAACAGCAACAGAAGGCAAAACTGGGGAGTAAGGAGATGAGGCTGCAGCTGCTGCAGCAACTTTGGCAACAGCAGCAATGGCTGCTATCATCTCTTGTGCTCCCTCTCGAAGCCGAATATAATCGCCCTCAATCAAAAACAACTGGAATCACAATTTCAGATCTTCAGAAAGTGCAAACCATTTGCCTATAAAAAGAAACGTAAACGCTGCAAGAAACAAACCTCAGGGTGAGCAGCTACAAAGTCATCCAGTTTTCCATACAGCTTTTTGTAATCATGCCAGTGTAAAGGTGAGAGCATTTTCCCGAGCCTATTCGGTAGCTGCAATTGACAGATACAAGTCAAATCCCATTCGTGCAGGACCTAATACCAGTAAGTTCACCTGTGAAAAAATATTAGCAGACCAACCGTGGAACTGATCCGAATTCTGCCACCATTTGGAATCGTGCGAACAACGCATGCCAACAATGACCTTTCATCAAGCAGCGCTGTCTCTGAAGTCTTAGCTGATATCAAGTAATTAGACTGCCCGGTTGACACCAGCTTTTCGGGCAAAAAAGCAACAGTTCCATTTTTTACTGTTGTATCACAGAAATCAACAGAATGGACTGTATCATGAGATGGGCTGGCAGAAGCAACAGTACTTGTTTCCTCTGCTGTTAGAATTTGATCCTCCAACACATGATTATTCATGTTCAGAATATTCTGTTCCTGTCCAAGTTCAATGTTTAGAGGTTAGAACTGAGAGATTCCCAAATGCTTGAAGACTAATCAAATTGACAAACCTTGGATTCAGAATTCAATATTAATGCCTCATGAAATTGTGAAGAAACTTGTGGCAAGGTTGGTTCAGGCTGGGGGTCCACAAGGTAACTTGCATTTTCTGACTCAGCAACCTGAAAACAAATGGTCTCGGTAAGTTGCAATAACAGATAAAAACAAGAAGTTCACTGAGTGGGATGATTTTGATTTAAAGAACCTGTGCTTTCCCAGAAGATGATGATATCACAGAACTGAGCTCTGATCCTTTGCTTACATGCTCTAGATAGCCTGTACGAATGGTTTGCCCATTGACAGACATGTCATATTCATTCGTTACATCTTGTTCAGTTTGGGATGTTGGTTTATGATCCTGTGCGGACAGCTGTAAACCCTCTGAAGAAGTCTGGAAAACAGGATAAAAGCCCATTACATATAACAAAGAATACCTTGGGAAAAATTGATAATGTACAGATTTGACCATACCATTTGGTTCTGCCACTGCTGAATGGATGACAAATCTGGCATTGTGTAGGGTCCAACATGAGATGCCACAGAATGCTGAACTCCCTGTTGTTGCATGATAAAAGAATGCAGGGCAGACACCTGCCCAGGTGGGAAGTATGTAGACATCCCAACTGGAGCAATCGGAACACTTGGAACATGGTCATTCTGATTATGGACATTCACAAGGAACAAAAAGATAAAGCAAGTTATAGACGAGACGAAAAAGATCACAAATTGACCATTAAATAAAAGCCTACGCATTACAACTAAAAACTTCCAAAAATGATTTTACAAGCATCACTTCAAACCATAAGTTAGACAAAATGTAGAGGAAGGGAGGTAGGGGAGAGGACAACTAAAAAACTAATGAAATAATTGTATCAAATTTTGGTAATGAAATAAATTATCATATGAAGAAAGATGTATACCTATAATATAGATAGTTATAAATATTAAATTTCAGATTCCAACACAATTCAGCACTGAAACTTCAGAAAAGACAGAAATCTTACTGGATTTGGATCATTGCTAGCTGAAACCAACAATTTAACATTGTCTGAAGCTCCAGTTGAAATGACTGCAGTATTAGCATTTTCTGCACCACTTCCATTAGAATCCACTTCTTGTTCCTTATTTTGAACAAATTGAGATAAATCTTTTGATTTTCTTTGAGACATATGTGATTCATCAGTATAGGAACCATTCCTCTCCCTAACATCAGCCAACTCAAGTTGAAGCTGATGTATTGTATGTGAATGAAGTCTCTCCATCTCTGCAAACTAACATTAACAACCACAGACAAGGGAAACTTAAATTGCTGAAAATGACATCAAATCTATTCATTCAAGGAAAGAGACATGTAAACAAGAAACTAACAGCTCATATACCTGTCTCTGACATCCATGCCAGAGCTGGTTATATTGTTCTGTACGTTCTCGCAACTCAGCCTGTAAGGAATGGTTTGTACTTGACTGCAAAGCATCCATCTCCTGGACACGTGAAATCCAAGTTTGGGCTTCTCCCAACTGTTCATCCCTATAAAGGATGGCTTCTTGAGCAGCCCTATACTGAAGAATATGACTACCATTAGAAAATGCAGCTTGATGCCTTCTAGAAATCAACAATATACTTAATTGAAATTGTTACATGGCATAAATTTCCAACACAAACAGATCTGTTTATTGTAAATTTAGTAGATAAGTAAATATTGTAACTTTCAATAACCTAAAGGTTCACATCAGGACAGTGTAAAAATATTCAAGAAAGTATATGGACCTGTTCCTGCAACTCAATAAACTGCCTCTCTTTCTCTTGAAGATGCTCTTGAAGATCTTGCATCTGTTTTATATGTTGGGCTCTCTCAGCTTCTGAATGATCGTGTTCTCTTCTGCCAAAAGACAAAGAACAAGAAACTCATAATAGTTTCAGAAGATTCAAACCTCAGCAGCAACTTTAATGTATTAAAAGCAGAAACCAACAAAAGAAGTCTCTAATATTTTGGGAATGCCATTCAGATATAAACACTATGTTAATACATTCTGAACCCTTGGATAGGTCTAGAAGATTTCAGTGTTATAAGTCTCACAGCAACAGGAAATACAGATAAAACATTCATATGGATGGTAATCCATTGAGCCTTATGTTAATCACAATTACAAAGGCCTTAAATAAAACAAAAATACAGACCTGAAAGTAGCCAGTTTCTTGTTTTGTTCTCTGAGAAGGTCATCCTTTGCCCAGGACTGCCAAGATAACCAAGAATAGCTAATTTATACACGACTTGCTAAACCCCACACTTTAATTTTAAAAGAAAGCCAAATTTCGTCCAAAAGCAGAATAAGAAAATGAATAACCTCTTCTTTATCCACTTTGATGGCTTGCAGTTTTCTATCTTTCTCCTCCATTTTCCTTTCCAAGTCATGTATGGTCTGTTCTCTCTCATGGAGTTGCTCCTATTCAATCGAATATAGAAAAAATTACAGATTGCAAGTCACAAAAGGAAGCAACCTTAAAGAACCTAGTTGTAGGATGCTTGGAAATGATTTCACGGGTCAGCAGATGTGATTGATATTTTATAGACCATTCAAATCAGATATTCAATATGTGATTTCAAATAAATAACAATATGCCTTGAATAGAATTCCAGGAAAATTCAACAGTCAACACATGATGACATAAATTACTTAATGTTTATCATCTGAAATTCTATATTTGATTTTTCGTTCATAAATCAAGATCATATTATCATTCATAAAAGCAATTAAAACTATCTTTTTTTCTCCGAAAGTTGAATTGCAGAACAAACATACAGTCTATCACATTTTAATTCAAACCTCAAGCATGGCAACAGCATTGGCATGTGCAGCTATTTTAGCATCACAGCTGCTCTGCATTTCCAGGACCCTTGACCTCGCAATTGCCTGTGCTCGGAATTTAACCTCCATCTGCAGGAGCTCTTCTCTTTGTCTAGTGATATTGTGGATTTGCTGCTGTAATATGTCATCATCTAAACTTTCATCAGCCGTTATAGAGAAGTTAACATCAGCAAGCTCTCTTCCATGCTGCACCTTGATAAGTATTTAACAATGTTTACGTCTCATCATTCTCAGAATAGAATTCAATTTTAAGATTAAAAAGACTTACCTCATATATGGTTCTCTCATTTGATTGTCCCATCTTTGATCTGTCTATTTCCTGCAGATTGCAAGAAAACTGAATAAACCAAAAAAATGAACAGCAATGTTTTATGAATAATATCAATAATCATATACCACAGTTTGATCAACATAACTTGATGCTCAATTCTGCCACTCACAACTGGACAGTACCCCATAGCAGTAAACCCAAAAAACTTACTAAGCTCATAGGATTACATAAACACTTAATCCAGTTGACGTGAACCCAATTAACATAGCAAATTATTACAACCAATGGACCAGAAACTTGTCCCCAAACGTTTTAATTAATGAATCAAAATGCAAAATGCAAAACTTAAGCTCATAGATAGGTTCATAAACGAATCGTTGAAAAACCTGTTTCAAATTTTGTTTCCGAAAACCTTACCAAGTGAAACATAAATTTTTTACTTAATTAAAAACAACTCAAAACTGTATACAAATTAAAAGAACAAAAAAGATACGGTTTTTTTCCTTAAAAGAACGCTTGTAAAAACTAAATCAAACATAGTAACCTTTTAATTTGTTCATAGGGCCCAAACAATAACGAATTTTCGTTCTCAATTCAACATCCTCCCAGAACCCACATAATACAAAAAGGCGTATTCATCAATAAATGAAATTACCACTTCATCCGCATGGTTACGGACCGGGTGATGCTCGGAAATGGCACGCCACTCCTTACGCGACGATGATGACATTGTGAGCGAACCGCTCCGTGCGGCAGCAACACTGGCCGCTGCCTCCATTGGATCAGAATGTACAACGCTACACCAACTCTCTCACTTTCTAATCTGCAAAAAGAAGACTCAGAAAGGAAAAAATGGAAGAAAAAACTAGGGTTTTTCAATTTTCAGTTGAAGGTACAAACCAAACCCTAGAATCAAATAAATTCAGAAGAAAGGGAAGTGAATGATAGAAGAGAGAGGCGGAGATCAATGGGGTAAATTGGGTTTTAAAGATTGGAAATTGGAAGGGTTTTGGAAAAAAAAATTATTGAGATTTTAAGGCCATAGAGAGCGAGAGAGATGATTGGGAGCTTGAAGCTTCGACCCAGGTAAGGCTCCCGCCATTTATAGGGCAAGCTCGTCGACAATAAAATCCCATCACGCCTTCTGGTCGCGCGTGTTTTATACATTTTTAGTCTGCGGTCATAAATGAGATGAGACACTTTTAAGTTACTAGAGTTCGATTCGATCATTATTCAAATCGATTAGATTTTATTTTATGTTAAATTCAGCTTGAGCTTTTAATGAGTTAAAATAGATTATTTGATAATTGATTCAAAAAATTAGTTAATAATTTAAAAAAATAATATTTAAAATTTTATTTTTTAATTAAATTATTAATAATATTATAATATTTATACGTTTATAAAATAAACTTTAAGGCTTTCATGTATTTAGTATTTGGATTTAAGTTTGAGCTTCAATCGAGTTAAGTCTAAGATTGTTTTAAGTTCGAGTCGAGCTTCAATTTTTTATTTCGAGTTTGAGTTAAGCTTATTAATATTAAGGCTTAATAGAAAAATAAGTGACTGAATTTTATTTCGAAAAACATTTTGGTGCCTAAAATAATTTTTGTTAAAAATTAGTACCTAATATTTTCTCAGTTACACTTTTAGGTGCCTACTGTTTTATTTTTTAATTTTTTTTAATAAAAATATTATTTTTAATTAAAAATTAAATAAACTTAATGTATTTATAAAAAAACCTCAAATTTTTATTGAAATTGTAAAACAACTCTAGAAAACTAAAATATCTTATTTCAATTCAAATCCCAAAACCTTTAAAACCTTAATTTCCACGATTAAACGCCAGAGGAGCACCGACAAAGCGACGAAGAGGATGAGTTTTGATCGAAATTACACAATGGTTCGAATAGTGGTGACGGTGTGGCTTATGGATGTCAGGATCGATCGAAATCAACGAAAAATAGATACGCTGCTCCATGAAAAACAGTGGCAGTTTACGACGAAATGTCAACGAGAGTTTGATGAGGGGTCGACGCCGGTGCTAATGACTATGGCGATGACGGTCACGACAGGCCAGCTGACGACCATAGAAGAGGGGAAAATAGGAAGGGAGAAGGGGTTTCATGTGGGTGTCGGGTTTTTTTAATAAAAAATATTTTTTTTTAAAAAATAAATTCTCAAAATTATTGGTGCTTGACACGTGTAACGACCAAATTTAACGGTAACACCTAAAAGTATAATGAAAAAAAACATTAAACATCTATTTTTAGCAAAAATTTCTTTAGACACTAAAGCATTTTACGAGAGTTTTCGAGTCAAGTCGAGCTTAGTTTTAAACTTTTTAAGTTGAATCAAATTTTAATAATCAAGCTCGACTCGTTTTACAACCCTAATCAATCAATAATCAAGTTTATGGATATTAGTTTATTATTTAAATTTTAATTAAAATTTCATCTGATTTGATTTTATAAAATTTTGAATCAAATATATTCATTCGATTTTTTTTTAATTGAATATAATTACTTATAATATCATTGTAGACACCTGTTTTGTCCAAGTTATTATTATTATTTATTATTAATATTTATTATTATTATTATTATATATATATATTACAAAAAGGAAAATGGAAAATGGGTAATATCCCTAAGAATATAGGGCATTTAATGCCCTGTTGCTACTAATCCTACCCCGAGGTGCTTTGCTGCCAAGCCTGCCCGATCAGCAACTGAACCGTTGAGCACTCCACGCTGATGACGTCATCAACACTGACCACGAGCCTTATATACTTCAGATTTCGCGCCCCTCGGCTACAACACCATTTGCAAGCAAAAATGAAAAAAACAATCATTAGAAACAACAAACTTTCTTACCATTTTGTAAACGATATGGGTTCTATAAAATCTCCTCCCCAGCAGTTGTAATCGGGGGGAGGGAGAGTTAAAAAAACCACTCCCGATAGAACAACCATTGTAACCGAAGGGCTTCCCCTATTCAAGAGAAACCGACAGCATGTAATGGCCTCTCGACCTCCCCTATTTGTTTTAGCATTCAAAGCATACAATGTAATGGTCTCTCCCCATTTTTCAACAAGCAATACGAAAGCAATCATTTTTGGTATTTTCTTTTTCCATTTTCAGTAAGCAGTGTGTTTGTTTAGAAGCAAAATGATGAGTAAAAAAAGGGTTCTGTTACCTTGGTTGGTTCAGTCCTCGTCGAAGTCAGGCTAGTTCACGGGGTAGTCGAAGAGTCGTCAGTCGTCGATCATCAGGAAATGGTAGATGAAGAGCCGAAAACCCTTAGGCCTTTGGAGGCTTGTATGTAGGTTTTAGGGTTTAATTTAGAGGAAGTCATCGGTGAGTACTCATTCGTCGAAGAGTGGGTCATCGATGGTCATTATGGCCGTGCATAGAGTGGCGAGCTTTGGCCCTTTTAGGGCCTAGATTTAGCCTTTTTTTATAAAGGGGGTGCGGGTTTTGGTTGTGGTTAGAATTAGGGGCGATGGCCACTACCGATGGTGGGCGTTGGGAGTGAGAACGCCGACGTACAACGTTTAGATAAAGGTTTGGCCTTTCGGTTAAAATAGAGGAGAAGAGAGGCGAGCAAATGTCACTCCTTTCGATTCAAATAAGTGGCCTCTTCGATTACTCGCATCTTGACCGACGTCCGGAGGAGGAAACGGTTCGCGGCGTGGTTATTGTTTTGGTTTTCGGCCGCCGGCGTAAATGAGAGAGCTTGAGAGGGTTGAGAGAAAAGAGGGTTTTTTTTGGAGAGTTAGGGTTATAAATGAGTTAAAACAAAAAAAAGGTTGTCTTTTGTATGAAAACTTTAGTGTCAAATTATTTTTAAGCCCCTAAACTTCTCTCGTGTTTTTATATAGTAGTAACTTGTAGGGACCGTTTTCATATTCAACCTTTTTTATTTGTCCCGATTTCCTTATTTTCCATATTTGGATCCCAGATTTAATTTTTTGGTTTATTTATGTATAAGTCCCTGAATGTTTAGAGCCTATTTACATTTTAATCACTTATTGAGATTGTTTCATTGTTAGTTCAATTGTGATGTCCTGATTTTGCGATTTTGCATATTCCTATTATTAGCTCATTTTAGGTTTATTAATTTGGAATAATTATGCTTCGATCCTCCTAATTTTAGCGTGTATTTACACTTAGGTCATTATTTAAATTCTCAAATTTCATGATATATTTTAACAAATATTTAATTTAGTCTATTTCTACTTATTTTTTATTTTTTATGGTTATTTTAATTTGAGTGCCTATTTTAATAATTTCCATTTTAGTCCGGAATGTTGATAATGGTTTTATTATGATTCCAGTGCCTAGCTTGTATGATACTTTTGTTTATAGCCATGATTTTTGTTGGTTTTAAGTTTAACCCTTAGAGTTACTATCTTTTTACTCCTATTATCCGTTCACATATTCGTCTAATTTCTTATTATTTGCATTTAAACTTCCTATATTTATGGTATTTTGTCTAAGTCCTCGTTGGTTTCTCTTTATTGTAAAGGCACATCGTATTAAGATAACATGTTGTACAAGGAATTTATAGAAACAGACCTTAACTAACAAGGAGTTCATTTCCATGAATTGTTCGTACAAAATAATATATGCATATATTTTTATGTCCTAAAAAATGTTTTTATAGATGTTTATTAAATATATGTGTTCTCTCTAGAAAAATTAAATAAATATTGTTTGTATGAGAAATCCATAAAACACGCTTTAAGTAACAAGGAGTGTGTTTTTGAAGATTGTCTATACGAAATAATTCCCTTTTCAAAATTTGTTCTAATAGGATCATAATTTAAATGTATATTCAAATTTTCAAATTTTAATATTTAGATGATTTATAATCGCTTAGGTATCGATTTTGGGCATTATGGGGGTGTTCATCCTTCCCCACGCGTAATCGACTCCCGAACCCTTTTCAAAACGAGTTTCTGGTTAAACTCATATCACTTTTTTATCTTTTAAATTTTTTTTTCTTAAAATTATTTTAAATAATATTTTTTAGGTATTCGACCTACCTAACCCAAAAGTCGATGGCAACTCTGAATTTATTTGTTTGTTCTTTATTTTAAAACCCAATATTTTTTAAAATTAAGTTGGATTGTTTCCTCGCAATAGGCCTAAAAAGCTTAAGGATCATTCCGACAGTTTGGCGACTCTACTGGGGACATTAGAGAGTCAGGCCGTAATCGATTATACATCACCTTTTTATTTGAAAATGGTAAATATAAATGACATTTAAATTTTGATACTTATGTTTTGTTTGCATCGCATCGCATCAAACATCTTTTATTTATTTATTAGTTGTACTAATGTGTAATTCCCATGTTTCAGATTTATGCCCCCTTTTTAGTCTGACAATTTTGGAATCGAGGCAAATGATTGTGAGTTTCCCTCACACACGCTAAAACCATGAATATTTAGAGCCTTCTAACTGTGTTTTGTCCCGTTAGGTAGGGGTGAACGTTATGTTTATGTGAGAAAAATTATTTTCTCCGCATGAGCTTTAGCAAGTAACCTTTGGGGTACATATGTCTTGTGTTTACAAGTGAAACATTGAGTTTCCTCGCATGGACATGGGGAAATGCATCCTCTCGAATTGAACTTGATTCGTTTAAGCCTATATGGGTGACGATCGAGGGTCAGGCATGACCAAGGGGGCACCGGTAAAGGATAATTTGAGGACCCTTTTAGTAGTACTGAAACTCTGCCTCTTTTGTATCGAAATTTTGTATGCGTTTCTTCAAAAAGTCACAAAGGGGAAACTCACTCTAACTTTTCCTTATATTTATTTATTTATTTATTTTGCAAAAAGCATGAAAACTAGATGATTATGATATTAGGTTTTATATTTTCGTATGAAGCCTGTGAACTAGAGAAATAAGGTTAGTATTTATACTTTGAACAAAGCATGGAGGTAGAAAACATGTCTGGGTAGAACTGTTATAAAAGCATGTCAGGGTAGATACCATGTTGGGTATGATCTTTTATTTTTGTAAATATTTTTTCTTCTTTTTTGGTTGAATGACACTAACAATTTCTTTTGTTTTATCTTATTTTTTTTCTGTGTCTTTTGTTTGCATTTGCATTTTCACATCATAACCAAACAAAGTATTAATTCGCAAGTGATTGACCAAA